GACTTCTACTCAGTGAGTCAATAGGTAAATAGGAAACGCTCTAAGGATGACATTCCAATGACAATATAATTGAATGCAGCTAAGGTCGTTTTACGATTTATTTTTATAATTAATAATATCTATTTACGTTTTATAATTGAATAAGCCAAGAACCTGATAGATTTTGCCAGAACTCAATAAATAGAATTAATCTTTCTTAGTTATTACATGCAGAACATAATTGTAGAGGACTCTGTAAAGGCTTATTCTGTTGTTCCAAGACTCACGGTAGCAGACGATTGCTTTTAGTAAAGTGCCCTTAGTGGCTAGCGCTGCATAAACTGCTGCATCGCCGAACGGAACATTTGTGAACAGAAAAGGGTAAGCTATGGACTAATTCAAAATTTCGATGAATATATAACTTGAGGGTTAGGAGCTAAGTACCTACTTTGAAAATGATAACAAAGATACACACAATAAAAAGTCCCTATGTACCTGGATCCATATTTCGTAGTCAAATCGCATTTTTGGCTGCAAGTGAAATAATCTTTGCAGTCGATTTTACTTTTATTTGTCGTGGCTCGATTATTGAGACAGGTATGCAGTCTCAAAGTATCAAATTAACATCTACAAAATTATTCTAATCCAAATAATCTAAAGATGTACTAATATATATAAAGTAATAAACTATGTATAAAGTAATAAAATTTAGTTTAACACAACCAAAATTAGTTAAGTTACTCAACTTAGTCCTCTTTTGCTCATCTGTTATTCTGTTGTACGATTTAAACGTCAAAGATTAACTAAAATTCATAACGTCACACTAAAATTAGACGCCAGCATACATGCTGACTAACTTATTAGTAGAGTATTTAAGCGAATTATTTTTCTTAATTTAATTCTTAAAATTTTAGCGAATTATTTTTAAAAATGATAGCGATTACATTATTTTGGCTCTGGTCAGTTCAGCGGAATGTGCATAATGTTATTAATCATAAATAACAAATAATCATGTGAGTCTTATCTGAATTATTAAAATGTACATGTCTTATTTTTAGAAACTATCAAAAACGAATACGCTTAAAACATATTCGAGAAAACTCCAATCCGTTTGAGTTGGCAGAGGAAAAATTTCAGAAACTATTTAGGCTTCCTAGATCTTTCCTGGTCTGCTTTAATTTCATTAATTTGTATGCAATGCAATGCGAAACACATTGACCTCAATATAGATCCACTGTTTCTACCTTGTAACTACTCTTCATATTGAACCTATTTTTCATGTTTTATCTGCACTCCAATCTTTCGCTTAAGGAAGTTAGCAAGCTGCTGTAGGGCAAGACAATTTCATTGTAGTTAGCCAACCTTCTGTGCATTAAAATAACAGCATTAAATTTAATAGTAAATGAGCTAAAAAAATAGTTACAGTCAATCGCACCATCTTTAACTTTCTTAAATCGTAGAATAACATTTGCCCTGATATAGTTTATTATTTATACCTGACGACATCAGCTTAATAATTTCAAATATTTCTGAGTCGCATTTATCTATATAAGAATGATATATATGTCGATCAACGCAGACTTAGCTTCGATATTTTGTAGCTAAAATCGATTTTTTTCTAAATGATTATCTTGAGTTTTCCTCCTTCTCGAGTACTCTTTTTCTCGAAAGAAGCCTCATCGGTTTGTCGATTGTTTTTAAATTTAAATTTTGTTAGCTTCGAAATTTTGTAGCTACAATTGAAATGATTCTTAAGTAAATGATTATCTTGCTACTACATTAAACTACAAACAATTTTAAGTAAAGAACAATAAGCTACAAAACTCTACATCGTTTTACGTTACGTTAAATTACGTTACTTTTAAGTTTAAATGAGATTTCTGAAATGAAGTCTAGCATTTTTTTTTTAAATGTAGCTTCATTAAACTATATTTAGTGATTTGTTTTTTTATATTTATTGTTTTTTTCGCGTTATTATTGATACTTCAAAAAATAAAGTATACTACATTCATTAGCATCGTTTGCGGGTAAAAATAAAAATAAAAAATCAAGTTTATTCCAAAACGGGTTCCAGCGCAATGGAACTAATTACATACACCACGGCAGGTATAGCATCGACGTCCGATTCGATGAACGATTTCTCCATCTCGCTCTGGTCTGGTCACCAGTGTCACCACCATAGAGATATAAGCATAGAATGAATAAGAGTCCCACACTTGAAAACGAGAGAGAGATGGATAATAGATAGTTCCCTCTATCTAGTCGAGCTGGCTGGGGAAATCTCCCGCCTGTTCTGAAAACCATGCTATTTTGACGATAGTCAATCGCAGATTTTCTAAACAGAGACAGAGGGAACAATCGGGCATCCATCTCTCTTGTTGCATGTATCGCTTCCACTTGCAGGCTGCTGTACTACGTCGACGAGGAGAGGTCTCAACATTGGTGTAAAGGTTGGGCCGATTTAACCTTTAAAGTACCTACTTAAGAAGAAGTTAAATTAGGTGAATTTAATTTCTGGGGTGCTAGGCTAGAAAACCTCCCCGTGGTGCACCCTGGAAACGCTGGCGATGGTACTGTTTCCTCCTTGTCCTCTTGGAGGAGAGGATTATCGCCAGCGGCCAATATTCTAGCAGAAGAGGTAGCCGTTCATCGGCTCTCGGGCAAGGCCTGGTCCAGCAGGGTGGGCGTGTCTGCCGGTTGCCCTGCTGGCTCTTCGCTCTTCGGAGCATGGAGGAGGAAACCTCGGTAAAAAACCGGATGGTGGGGCCCTGTAGGGGCCACAGTTTCTCCGCTGACAGCGGTGGAGAAAGGAGGACGGGCTCGGCGTGTACTGACACTACCACCGAGCAGGCAGGGGGACGTAGTCTCCCTGTCAACCGTCGGCATATCGTAATCCCGAGAAGAGCGCTGTGGTTAAGTCTCGCTGCTCTGATCGGGGGCGAGGGTCTTGGCTTAACCGCCCGGACCGCGAGGAAGATAACCTCTCTAAAAAATTCCCCGAATCCCGTGTTCTGGTGCGTGGCCAGGGGATGCATGGCTGATGGGAAGTTCAGTCTCGAGCGCACTCCAAGCCGAGGTACCTGCGGACCCCTCGGTTGGGTTAAAAACTTACGCTTGCCCGGGTAATGGGGGATCTCTGCCCGGGTGGACCTTTAGTTCTCCCCCACTCGTGGGATTTATTATGGATAATTTCAATTTAAACCAAACAAAACGATCGGAAACAAACACACAACAGAAAAAGGCAAGCCTAACGGAAACGAAGAAAACGAAGGGAAGGAAGGAGAAGCAGAACAGAGGAGTGGATGGGTCATCCACTGAGGGCGAGACGGTGTCGGGAACGCCTATCTCGGTGGGGCTCCCAGAAGTCAGTCTGACGCTGGTCTCTGGGAGCCGAAGAGCATCAGATCGGCTGCGTTCAGGATCCGCCGCTTCGTCGGATGGTGCGGAGGCCATGGAAGCGGAACATCGCATCGACAGCCGGAAACGCGGACGCTCAGGGGACGAGGAAACCGACACGTCCGCAGAGATGATGCCACCAAAGGTGGCAAGCAGCCGTCGAGGGAGGCAACGTAAACCGGCCTCGGCCTCGGTCTCGACCCCGTCAGGCTCAGCATTCTCAAACGCGGAGTCGTACAGAAGTGTACGGGTGGACGGCGAGGCCGTAGCGGAACAGGAGATCGCGGATCTCCTGCTCAAGGTTCGGGTGCCGGTGGGGGGAAATGCCCCCCAGGCTCCCGTGTCCGTGCAGGAGAGGGCGAAAGCGGCGGTGGCCGTCATCCACAAGGTGGCCAAGTCCGTGAACCTTAAGGGCTCATTTGTGAGGGCCCTCAAGGACTCCTCCTCCGCTTTGTCGGAGGTCGTGGAGGGCCTAGTGGGCGACGTCTCGCGCCTACAGGTGGCCAACGAGAGGCTGACGGAGCGGGTGAACGAGCTGAGCGCTCAGTTCGCCCGCTTCCAGGCGAACCTCCCCGAGCGGGAAGCCCCGTCCGCGTCCCAGCCTGCCCCTACCACCAACTCAGGGGCATTTGACTCCCAACTGCGTGAAATCCTCATCGCAGTTGGGAATATGCTGGACGGACGCCTGGCTGGCCTGGAGGCGAGACTGCCCCCTGCGCCGATTGTGCGCCCCCCGCTCGCGTCGGCACAGCGGCCTAAGGCCGCCGCTCCGACCGCGCTCCCCGTGGTGGGAGGCCGCGTTTCTTACGCAAGGCACCGTCCCAGGCGCCGGCCAAGGCGCAGGCCAAAGTGCCGGCCAAGACGGGGCCTAAAACGGCGCCGAGGAGCGGAGTGGCATTCCCTCCGCTCCCCACTCCGACACCCCTGCCGGGCCCCTCGGCACCTGCCCCCTCCAACGAGGGTTGGCAGGAGGCGAGGGGCTCCAAGAAGTCCCGAAGGCGGGCCAGAAGGGCTGCCCAAAAAGCAGCCCAAGCCCAGCCTTCGCCACCGGTGGCAACGGCCTCTGCAAAGAGGCCGCGGAAGCTGCAGCCCTGCAGCCCAAAACCGCGCCTGTAGTGGTGACCGTGTCCCCGGAGGCGGCTGACGGCGGGCTGTCCTACGCGGCCGTTTTTAAAAAGGCCCGGGACAGCCTCGCCAACGACTTTGGGACGGTGGGGGTCAAGATGCGCCTCGCCCAAACGGGAGCTTGAGTTCTCGAGTTCCCAGGGGCTGAAGGCGCCAAGACGGCGGACACTTTCGCTGAGAGGCTGCGGGGTTTATTCGCGACCACAGATGGTGTCAAGATCGCCAGGCCTACCAAGTGTGCGGAGCTGCGCATCTCGGGCCTGGACGACTCTGTGACGGCCGAAGATGTCCGCGCTGTAATCCGGGAGAAAACGGGGTGCAGCGCGGACAACGTCAGGGTCGGCACCATCCGCCCCGGTCCAGGAGGGCTTGGCGCCGTGTGGGTCAGCTGTCCCGTAGCGTCGGCCAAAGAATTGGCCGACGCCGGCAGGCTACTCATCGGTTTCGTGAGCGCCAGGATCACAGTCCTGGCGGCGAGACCGATGAGGTGCTACAAATGCCTAGCATCGGGACACACGCGCGTCAAGTGCGACAGCTGTTTCGACCGCGGCGGACTGTGTTTCCGCTGCAGTCAACCGGGGCATAAGGCGGCAGAATGCTCTGCCGCCCCTCACTGCCCAGCGTGTGCGGCGGGCAATAAGCCCGCCAATCGTCAGACGGAGACGCCAGACGTCAGGGGCTAGCCAGTCGACCCAGACTACCCCCGACGTCAATATTGCGTCGACGTCGTCGCCCATGGAGGAGGTATTGGTATTGGTATTGGTATTGGTTGTGGGCCTCGGTTTCCGCATTTAGACTCAGAGTGGTCCTTTATGCGTCGGGGATTGGTTGACTAGGTGAGCCAGCCAAGCTCCTTCCAGAAGCGCAGAAGCCTCCTGGGGCGTTCACAGGCTTCTAGGAGCGACTTTATATCAGGAATGATATTTGCCCGTTGTGGGGCCACTCCCTCGCATTCCAGGACTACGTGGGCGGCCGTTTCTTCAGCTTCCAGACACCCCCTGCACAGGGGGCTGTCCGTCGCATTGACTATGAATAGTTGTCGGTTCAGGGCTAGATGTCCTGTAATAGTTCCGACAACCATTTTGATTTCCGGTCTGCTAAGACTGATCAGTCTGCAGGTTAGTCGTGGCGTGACTTGATTCAGCACCAGTTTGGACTGTCTGCAGCCGGGTGAGTTTTTCCACCTCCGGTTGTGTGCTTCACAGGTCCGTTGCCTGACCCAGCATCGTATTTGGTTAAACGATATGGGCAGGAGTGGGGTTGGGCCAGAGGTTGGGGTTGCCGAGCCCCTCCTTGCCAACTCATCTGCGGCATCGTTCCCGTGTGAGTTACTGTGCCCTTTAATCCATTGGAGGAGTACCCCATTGAATATAGCGAGCTGTTCCAGTGCTTGGTGGCATTCGAGGACAACACCAGAGGTCATTGTGTTGCCCTCCAATGCCTTTAAGACGGCCATGCTGTCGGATATTATTCGGATGTTGTAGTCCTTGATACCCCTTGACATGGCCGTTGTGGCGGCGTAAGTTATTGCCACACATTCACATTGAAATATGGAGCTGTGTTGGCCTAACGCTAGTGATATGTTTATATTTAGGTCTTGCGAGAAAACGCCGGCTCCAGTTCCTGACCTAGTCTTGGAACCGTCCGTGTAAATTCGGACTTCGTTAATGCCGGATTGATCTCGGTCATTTCCATGTATCTGGATGTAGTATCTTCTTGTGAAGATATGGTGTTTTGGGATTCTATCGCATGGAGCTGCTATCAGTGGTTCGTATTCCACCAATTGATCCCATAATTTAGAGTGCGATCCCTCCCTTTTGTGCCATAGACCTAGGTGTTTGAGTCTAATGATCGCCATGGCGGCCTCCTGCTGTATGAATAGATCCAGGGGTGGCAGACCAAGAGCCACCTCCAGTGCAGCAGTAGGCGTTGTGCGCATACAGCCAGTGACCGCGGAGCATGGGAGTCGCTGGAATTGCTGCAGTTTGTTTATGACGGTGCTTAGCTCTGTTCTCTGCCACCAGACAACAGCACCGTAAGTGATTATTGGTCTTATGACTGTCCTGTATAGCCATAAAGTAATTTTGGGTGATAGTCCCCAGCTTTTGCCGAGTAGCCGCTTGCATTGGCAGAAAATAATGCAGGCTTTATTCAATTTTTCATCGAGGTGCTTATTCCACAGGAGTTTACTGTCCAGTATTACTCCTAGGTATTTGACCTCTTTGGTAAGAGTAAGTTGTGTTCCAAATAGCTTGGGAAGTCTGAGATTTCCTAGGCTGCGTTTGTTTGTGAACATGATCATCTCTGTTTTGGATGGGTTCACTGTCAGGTTGTGTGCTGCGCACCATTGTTCCACGATCTTCAGTGCAAGTCTCATTTGATCGCATGTAATGCTCTCAAAAGGAGCGCTGATGAGAATGGTAAGATCGTCTGCATAGCCTATTGTGAGGAATCTTTGGTCATTAAGTTGTGCGATGAGCTCATCCACAACAATGTTCCATAGAAGGGGGGAGAGTACACCGCCCTGGGGGCAACCTCTAGCCACCACTCCTCTAGTCACTTCGCTCACAGTGAATTGTATAGCTCTATATCTTAGCATGCTGTCGATCCACCCTGAGATTGTGGAATCAACACCATGCCTAGACAGAGCTTGGCTAATGCTGGTGAAGTTGGTCTTGTCAAAGGCTCCCTCGATATCGATAAAGGTGGCCAGTGTTGACCTTTGGTGATTTAGATTGTCTTCTATATATGAAACAACTCGATGTAGGGCAGATTCTGTTGATTTACCCATCGAGTATGCGTGTTGATTGAGGTGTAGAGGATGACTGACTAACGCAGTTTCCCTGATTTCCCTATCTATTAGCCTCTCAAGAACCTTTAGTAGGAAAGATGTGAGACTAATAGGTCGGTGTGATTTGGGTTGTGTGTAGTCACCTTTACCAGGTTTGGGGATGAAGACTACTTTAACTTCTCTCCATTTCAAGGGGATGTACTGATGCGCCAGGCAGCCCCTGTAGATTTTTATAAGATGGTCCAGTAATGTCGTATCACACCATCTCAGTAGGCCTGGGAAGACACCATCTAGTCCTGGCGCCTTGAATGGTAGGAAGCTGTTAATTGCCCATCTTAGTTTGTCATGGGTGACAACTTTGCGGGCCGTATCCCAGTCTGTATCATCTGGTGGGTTTTCCCATCTGTCTTCCCATTTTTCCATCACATCTGATATGCGACATCCAGGGAAGTGTGTTTTTAATAACAGCTCTGAGGCTTCCGAGTCTGTTTTGGTATACTTACCATCAGGCTTCTTCAGTGAGCCAAGATTGTGTTCGCCTCTACTACACAGTATGCTTTTGACTCTATTGGCCTGGTTGTTGTTCTCTATGTTAGTACAGAAGTTTCTCCAGCACTCAGTTTTCCTGGTTCTGATTCTCTTCTTATATTGTTGTCGGGCCCGCGTGTAGGCATCCCAATGTTGGTCTAGTCGCGAGTTTTTTGCTTTATTGAACAACTTTCTCACTTTACGACGTAGTCTTTCCAGTTCCGGACCCCACCATTGGTGTTTGTTCTGTGGTCCAGTTCTGGGTGTGGAAAGTGGGCATGTTTGTTCAAAGCAATCGATCAGTGTCTGTGTAAGGTTGACAACATGACTGTCAATGTCCTTAACAGTCCCCGTAGCGTATGTTGGGTTGATGCTTCGCAGATTCTCCGCAGTAAGATGTTCATACCGTTTCCGGTCCATCGTGCGGGGATTCCGTCGGGGATCGGGTAGTTTAAGTTTCATTTCAAAGTTAAATTTGATCCAGCGATGGTCTGAGCACGATGCTTCGTTCGAAACATGCCAGTTCGATATGTGTTGCGATGCATGCTCACTTGCTAATGTAAGATCAATTATAGTTTGGGCCCTGGACGTGACAAATGTCGGCTCCGAGCCCACGTTGATAATGTTAAGGTTAGTTGATAATAGGAACGATACAAATTCCTCACCTCTCCGGTTGTTGCTCCTGCTGCCCCACAGCGCATGGTGCGCGTTGGTGTCGGCAGAGATGATCAGCTCCAGACCCTCGCGCTCGCAGTGGTGTGCCAGCGCAGCCAGCTCCGGAGTGGGGATGTCAGCATCGCCCGGCAAGTAGGCTGATGCTATCACCACGTCAGGCAGGTTTGATGAGGGTTCCTTTAACCTAATAGAGGTAAGGTCTCTGGAACAGAACTCGGTCATTAAGGTAGTATACGCATGTTTTGGTGTATAAATACAAGTGCGCGGGTTATCAATGGTAGTGTTGAGAAGTATCTTACCTCCAATATTATTTAGACCGCAGATCCTGCCCTTCCTAATCCACGGCTCCTGGATTAGGGCTACGGTGTTGGTTTTTACCTCCAGCTCTCTGCGTAGGGTAGCCGTTGCTGTATAGCTGTGCTGGAGGTTGGTTTGGATGGCTATAAGGGTGTTATGGGGGGGTGCAGACAGCGCCATCATCGCTGTTCAGCATATCCTCTATGTCGTCGAGGTCACTCTCGCCCACCGGTAGGTCCTCCAACTCCTTAGGAGGTGGACCCCGGCAGGCTGTCTCCTCAACGGGTCTCAGAGGATCCCCTCCATTGCCGTCCTTAGGGTGTTGTAGGGCCGATTCTCCTCCTCCCTCGAATGGCTCCTCGTTTGGGTTAGTTGGTGGGGCGGGACGTTCATCAAGGAAGCGGACGTAGAGGTTACCCAGTTTGTAGTATACTCTACGCTCGCTAGCCTTGAGCTTCACGACGTCCTCTTCTGGGATGCCGAGCACTAGGAAGAGACATTTCTTTTCCTCCTGCGCCTCGGCATGGTAGAGGGCCCAGTTGGCCACATTGTACTGGCTATTCTGGTACTTTAGCCTCGTTTGAATACGAACCAGTGTATCATCTGGTCCGATTTGTGGTACCAGGAGTCCAGCCTTGATCCTTTTCGGGATCTCAGACTGCCTCCTGACGACCAGTTTGGTGCCTTCACGTGGTGATGGGATCCTCACCAGGGATCGGCGAAGCCACTGTCGGGCATATTCGTCGTTGCACCACATCTTAAGGGCGCCCTCACTGTAGAAGGCCTTGCCCCTAAACTGTGGCGCAGCGACGGGTGCGCTTGACGTGCCGGGCGAGAAGATCTCCTCATCTAGCACGCCCTGCAGCTGGCCCTCGATGTCCTCTGCCTGTGCCTTGGTGAGGTCGTGGTAAGGCTCCAGCATGACCGCGACGCAAAGGTCATTCGCCTTTAGTGCGTCGGAGTAGCTCGTGGAGCCGGTCTTTGGCAGCGGTTTGAATCGCTTGCCACTGCCCTGGGGAGTGCGAGACTCGTCCGGGCGAGTTCTTTTGACGGGCTTTGTATCACTTGAAGGTTTCCCTCCACGTGTCGCTCGTCTCGCCCGTTTACCCTGTCCAGGTTGACCCTGCCTAGAGGGTACTTTGGCCGCTACAGGCGTCTTGGCAGGTGGCGCCCCCACAGGAGTACACTTCCCCGTGGCTTGACTTTCGTCTTCGCCTCGGGGCAGCACGTCACTGGCGGGGGCAACGTGGGCCCCTTCGGGCCCTTCAGCGACTTCAAGCCGCTTACTTCCACCCGAGGTCAGACACCGTGCTTGCCTTTCCACTCGGGCTTTCGCCCTGTTGGCGTTACGGGTCTTCTTGGACGGGTTTGGTTTTTTCGACGCTCTCTTCTTTGTCCTTACCAGGCTCCAGCCGGTTTCTTCCAGGCCGGGTCCCGCAGGTACGGGCATTGCTGCCCTCAAAGAGGAGAGGTCGATGGTCGACACTGGCTCCGTATTCTGGTTAGACACCAGAGGTGTCGCCAGAGTCGTGGATGGCGCTGCGGTCGGGTTGTTTGCCTGAGCAGCAGCCAATGGTGTATTTGCCGGTTTCACCCTTGGGTTGTTCACCCTGGGGTCAGCCGATTGGTGGTTTAGCCTGGCACTTGGGTTGTTCACCCTCGGTACCGGCTTGGTGGTTTTTTTATTATTTGGTTTTTCAGTATCCATAGTTTTTTTGGTATACTATTCATCTCCTTGTCCTTCCACCCTCCTTGGAGCCCTCAAGTGGGGACGCCGCGGCAGAAGGCACACGACGCCAGAAGTGACAAGGAAATATAGAGCTCCCTCCCTGGCAGAAGGCAGGCCGAACTAGGTAGGAAGACTTGGTCGTCCCACCCGTCGTCCACCCCCACCAAGGAAGAGCTCTCGCCCAGCAGCCCTCTGACGGGATACTACAGCCGATTGACCAAAGGTGGCTAGCCTTCAGCCTCCCGTGTAAAGAGAAATCCAGGCCAAAGCAGTGTGTTGCCTTTCAGCTCAACTACCAGGATCCCTTCATCCTCCCTTACGGGTCCCCGCACACGGCACAAACATGCGGGTGGTTGCCCCCCCTCCCCCTCACTCTCAGTCTTTGTTGATAGTGAGGCCGCAGGCACCAACCACTTAGTGTCCGCAGTAGGTGTGGATGGGATAGAAAATGGGAAGGGATGGGTTTTGTGGGATGGAATTGCGTCTGGGTGTTTCTGTTATATCTGTTTCGTAGGGAATCAGACCTAAAACAGGCGGCAACCACGGGAAGGATGACACCCAGACTTGCCATGGGGATCTACACGACTGTTGCGCTCTCCCCCATGACCATTCGCCGTGTACGCCCTCCGGACAGGAGGGCGTACCAGGATTGGATCTGCTCCAGGCGATCTTGGCCTTTTGGAGCACACCCAACCCCGCCCCCATGGAGGAGGTTGTAGAGACGATCCAGTAATGGATCAAGTCTCCAACCTCCTGGTCCAGACGAACCTGAACCACTGTGCCGCGGCGCAGGATCTCTTCCTGCAAACCATGGCACAGTGGTCGATAGGTGTTGCCGTAGTCGCGGAGCCCTATTCTGTCCCTCCCCGTCCAAACTGGATGGGTGACTGGGACGGCTCCGTGGCAGTCGTCGGTTCCACGACGGCTCATTCCCCGCCCTTGTCGCTAAGAGACAAGGGCACTGGATATGTTGCCGTCGAGTGGGGGGGGATCACCATATATGGTGTTTATTTCTCCCCCAACCGGAGTTAGAACGACTTCGAGGTTTTCCTAACCAGCTTGGAGACCTCGATACGGCGACTAGCGTCTGGACACGTCCTTGTGCTGGGGGACTTCAACGCAAAGTCCATTGCGTGGGGTTCCCCCAGGACGGACGCAAGGGGCGAGGCCGTAGAGGAGTGGGCGGCCTCGGTGGGCCTCTGTCTTCTCAACAGAGGCTCCACCAACACGTGCGTGCGACAGCAGGGGGGGTCGATAGTGGACCTTTCGTTCGCTACCCCTGCCCTCGCCGCACGAGTACGGAACTGGCGTGTCCTGGAAGAGGTTGAGACGCTCTCGGATCATCTGTATATCCGATTTGAGCTCTCCCGGACCCAGGACTCCAGTAGGGGTCACGTGGCGCGGCGTTTATCCCGCTTTCCGCGGTGGGCTGTTGCCAGACTGAACCGGGACCTACTAGAGGAGGCAGCCATAATTCACTCGTGGCTGTCTCCTCAGGCTCCGACCGAGGAGGTCGACGTGGGGGCTGGTCGCTTTCGCGATGCGATTACGCATATCTGCGATGCGGCCATGCCCCGCATTCGAGGTCGTCGGCCTCCAAGGAAGGAGGTCTACTGGTGGTCCCAGGAGCTGGCGGACCTCCGTGCGGCCTGTACACGTGCCCGGAGGTCCTACACGCGCAGTCGGCGGCGTCACCGTGGAGACGGTGAGGAGGACCGGCTTCATGAGGAGTACCGACAGGCGCGGAAAACTCTGAAGCTGGCCATTAGCCGCGCCAAAGAAGAAAAGAGACAGGAGATGCTGGAGGGTCTTAATCGTGACCCCTGGGGTCGCCCTTACCGCGCGGTGCGACAAAAGCTCCGCGCGTCGGGCCCCCTCCTTACGGAGACTCTCCAGCCCAGCTTCCTGCGAGAATTGGTTGAGGGCCTTTTCCCGCAACGAGCGGAACACACTCCCCCGGCGATGGCCTCCTTGGCCGGAGACGACGGGGAGCACGGGGAGGATAATGTTCCGCCCGTCCGGGATTCGGAGGTAGGGGCGGCTGTTCTACGGATCCGTTCCAAGAACACCGCCCCTGGGCCAGACGGGGTACCGGCCCGAGTGCTGGCCCTGGCCCTCAACCACATAGCAGACCGCCTCGGGGAGGTGTTCGACGCTAGCTTGGCGTCGGGACGCTTCCCTGAGTGCTGGAAGAGCGGGAAGCTGGTCCTATTAAGGAAGCCGGGACGGCCTGCCGATTCTTTCGCGGCCTATAGGCCCATCGTGCTGCTGGACGAGGCGGGTAAATTGTTCGAGAGGGTTCTTTCTGCCCGCATCGTCCGGCACCTCTGCGAGGTGGGCCCCGATCTGTCGGACGCCCAATTTGGTTTTCGGGCGGGGCGTTCGACAGTCGACGCCGTGTTGCGCCTGAGGGCCGTGACCGAAGAGGCCGTGAGCTGTGGCGGCGTGCTGTTGGCGGTGTCATTAGACATCGCCAACGCATTCAATAGTCTGCCATTCAGCTGCATCAGGGAAGCACTCCACTATCATGGGGTGCCAAAGTACCTGAGGCGGCTAGTGGCAGGCTATTTAGAGGAGCGTACCGTCGTGTACGAGGACCGAGAAGGTAATCTGAGGTGTCGGCCCATGTCGTGCGGTGTTCCACAGGGGTCTGTTCTTGGACCCCTCTTGTGGAACATAGGGTACGACTGGGCCCTTCGCGCCGATTTCCCCCCCGGGCTGGGTGTAATCTGTTACGCAGACGATACCCTGGTGACAGCCCGGGGGGCAAACTTCCAAGAGGCGGCGCGCCTGGCCACAGGGGGAGTCTCCCTGGTGGTCGGGCGCATTGAGGCGCTGGGCTTACGGGTGGTCCTAGATAAGACGGAGGCCCTGTTATTTCATGGGCCCCGTCGTGGTCCACCCCCTGGCGCCTCAATCGTGGTCAACTCGGTCCTCGTACCGGTTCGGGCCCAGATGAAATATCTGGGCCTGATCCTCGACGGGAGGTGGCTCTTCGACGAGCACTTCCGACAGCTTGCTCCAAAGCTGGTCGGCGCTGCGTCTGCCCTAGGGCGACTTTTGCCCAATATGGGTGGACCCAGCGTCGCGACAAGACGGCTGTACACGGGGGTTGTCCGGTCAATGGCACTGTACGGTGCACCGGTGTGGGCGGCGGCTCTGACCGCCCAGAATAGGGTACGCCTCTGGCGCCCTCAGAGGGTAATGGCGGTCAGAGCCATACGCGGTTACCGCACCGTTTCGACGGAGGTGGCATGCGCGTTGGCCGGAACTCCCCCGTGGGATTTGGAGGCGGAAGTGCTCGCCGAAGTTTATCGGCGAGTGGCTGACTCCCGGGCGGAGAGCGGATTTCGCCCTCCGCCCGAGGATGTGCGCGAGTGGCGCGAAGCCGCTCGCCGAGCCACGATGGCTCGTTGGTCGTTCCGGCTGGAGACTCCACGCGCTGGCTTCGCCGCCGTGGAGGCTCTCCAGCCGGTCATCGCCGAGTGGGCAGGGCGGCAGCACGGGACCCTTTCCTTCCGGCTGACGCAGGTGCTTTCCGGGCACGGTTGCTTCGGAAAGTACCTGCACTCGGTCGCTAGGAGGGAACTGAGTCCCGCCTGCCACCACTGCGACTGCAGTGAGGACTCGGCCCAGCACACGCTGGCGGTCTGCGCCGCCGGCGAACCGGGCGGCGGAGGCCCGCCTATCACAGCCTCATGCCGCCCTGAGTGTGGCCGCGGGTGGACGGAAGGACGGGTGGAGGTGAATTTAATTTCTTCATAAGTACTTTAAAGGTTAACCATATAATAATACTAATACCAATCAATAATTACGAATTTTAGTTGTTAAGTTTCACATTCAAATGTTGTATTTTATATTTTAAACAATTGAAATAAAAATATGAAATAAAGAGAGTTTGAGTTATAGAACCGTTTGCCTTAATTATAACAACGAGTATTTTTCATTAAAAAGTCATAATTAAGTTTCTTCTTTCTCATTTGTAGGTTTTATTCAAATTATAATAAATTTTAAATTCTAATCATATGCCTATGAGTGACAGCTTCATTATTTATTAAATAGGGAAACGCCAATGGGTTTTAATAACGTTTAGAAGTGACAGAGACAATAAAATTAACGGCTTGGAAGTCCATGCGCAAATTAATATTAACGGTATTACTACTAGTCTTAACTAGTGTTGGGATAAGTTTTAACGATTATAATTATTATCGAGATATATTTTACATTTTATTTCATGACTTGGCGTATACGTTTTTAAATCTACTCGTATTCCTGAACAAAAAACTTCTTATTTAGCCCCGAAATGTATAACTACATCATTTTCGTTGTTATCCTTCAATTCCGATCAGAAGGCCAAGTTAACTATGCTGTTCTAGAATACTCCAAGATCTACACTACTAGAACATTTTCTATTGCTTCGGCTGTAAGACTTGCCAAAATTCATGATTCTAGGTCCATGGTAAATCATTGGAAACCTGTGAAGAGTTACATTTGGTTAAAAAAAGAACTAAAGTGACCATATCCACACGTTCCTGAGAAAAAGATCTTGACGGAAAAAGGAACAACGAAGTAAGGACTTTTTTCTTTCTTTTCAATCCGCATTTCTCTAGTGAACCGATACCTAAGAAATGATAGGCCTTGACATAGCTTCTATAAATATTAAAAAAATACCATTTATTTTCATTATAAGCTTGACTTTCTTTGAGTCAAAATGTCTTCATTCCGAGAGCTATTGGAAAGTACCCAGCGACCTTTCCTAGGACCAAATTACTGGTTACTAAAGCACGTTGGATTAATATTGCCTGATACTCAGCGGCTAAAGATAGTTTATATAATGCTACACGAGGTCCTCACTTTTTTCACAATTACGCAATACATGGAGCTCTTTGTAATATGGCCAGATGTGAATCTCATGATAACTAGCTTGAAAATTTCGATGTTAAGTGTGGTTTGTATCGTCAAAGTTAATACGTTCATAATATGGCAAACAAGTTGGCGACAAATCCTGAACTATGTCACAGAATCCGATAAATTTGAAAGAACTAATGAAGATCTAGTTATGGTAGGCATTATAAACACTTACACAAAATATAGCCGCCGCATAACATACTTCTACTGGGCACTGACTTTCACAACCTTTTTTACTACAGTGACAACACCTTTGATCATATATGTTTCTTCTTCAACATTTCGAGAGAATTTGCGTAATGGAACTGAAAATTTTCCGCATATATTTGTGGCCTATATGCCGATTGATAAATACCACTCACCTGGATGTTGGATTACTGTCCTTTGGCATGTAATTATGTGTGCTTATGGAGCTGGTATAATGGCAGCTTATGACACATGTGTAGTGGTAGTAATGGTGTTTTTCGGAGGAAAACTTGATCTGATGCGGGAAAGATGCAAGCAAATGTTTGACAGTTTTGAAAAGGATGCGATTAGTGACCATCAACACAACGAGATTGTGGCACAACTAAGTGAGATGCATACTAGATTTATTAAGTAAGCTTTTTTGAGTTTTTAAGTTTTGCTTAACATTTTCAGTCACATGGATTCGACAACCAATTAAATTTGGGTTTACTTTGTTTAGGTGAATGCATGGGGATTGTGAAAACTGTTTGACATGGCAAGTGATTTGCTGTTAATGGATTATTTTGATGAAGCCTGAAGGGAGATATAATCTGTTGTAGACTGTGAATAAAAACTAAATAGGTCTTAACGTGATACAAATAGCTTAAAAACTGTTGTATTCATAATTTTCCGAGTTCAAACTATGAAATACAAATACCGTTTGAAAACCCTGCCCAATAATTGGAATCACCATATGAAAAGCTTTTACCTTCACAATAAAATCGTCATTGATAATATTTTTTTCAGATATTCGAGGTTATTTAACAGTAAGATATCTCCTGTCATGTTTTTGTATGTCGTGGTGTGGGCTGTCATGCTTTGCGCGAGCGCATTTCAACTTTCTGTATGTATAAATTACTTATATCAAAATAAATCTACATAGGTACATAAATTTTTGACGAATTTGTTTCTACTTATTTGCCATACTAATATTAAAGCATAAAGACACTAGAAAGTATTTGTTTTCACACGTATTGTGTGTTATTTTTTACTTTAATTTAATTATAAGTAAATAGACTGATTGTATAAGTGTTCTATAAATTAGATACTCTCATGATAATGATATTATGAGAGCAACTACTTCACAGTTTAATTCCTTCTTGACAAAAAACGAGCCAGCCTTACAGAAGTAGTAGTTGGAAAACATTATACGAGCTATACGATGAGAGGAATTATAGTAAAAGTAAACAGTTCCATAATTATGTTAAAGAATATTCGAAGCAGTTTAGGAAACTTTTTAAATTCGCTAAATCTCGTTTTACAAGTTCAAAGATTAAAAGTAGCAATGATAAGATTAAAATCACTTGGAATATTATTAACAGTGAAACTAAATTGTTGCTATTGTGTGTGTTGATCTATGACTTTAGAGTCTACATAAAAGACGATTTCAATCAATTTTATGAAATTAAGGTATTTTGAGTTGAATTACATGCGACTATTACTTCAACTGTACAATGGCATCTCGCGCTTGTTGGTTTTATTCAATAAGTTAAAAGTTTTGTCTGATGTTTATCACCTAGAAAGTTTCGTTGTTGGCCGTGCGGGACATAATCGTTTTACGTGCGACACGAGTTATATAGTGATTTCTTGTTTGTAATAGTGTGTTTGTAAATACAGTGCAATAAAAGTAATTAACCGACAACTTTCATTTATTGTATACCCTGTTCGTAACAATACGATATAAATTTGTAGTGTAGTAGTATTTCAGCATAATTTGGTACTTTGTAAATAGTGGTTTTGACCAGAAATATTGATCAAGATGTCCCTTATTGTTTTTTTGCAGCTAGCTACAAATACAGGTCAGAAACTATTGATGGTTGAGTATATAATATTTGGAATAACACAACTATTCATGTTCTGTTGGCACAGCAACGAAGTCATGGCCAAAGTAAGTCAACTGTTTTTTTATTTAGAAAATGTATCAATTAAGACAAAAGTTAAAAGATCGCCAGTCTCCTGGGTTACACATTTTTTGTTAGTATTATTTGTTGAACTCTTCAAGAGTCATAATTAAGTCAATATTGTAACGCAGGAAGTTCGAAATTCGAAGCCACTCCTACCCAATCGTACCTAAGTCTCTTAATCTCATTTTTTTTTCGAAAAATTTAAATTTAGAATTTAGGAAAACCAAACGACTTCAGCTCATTATACTATTTTTTAATTTATTATTCTTTGATTCACAGCATGAAAACCTTATAATGGGACCTTATGAAAGTAAGTGGTGGGCTGCGAGCTATAGACAAAGAAAAACCGCATTGATTCTATCTGGACAACTTTGTACCAAGAACATCTTCACTGCAGGTCCTTTCGCCGATCTTACTCTGTCGACGTTTGTTAATGTAAGCTAACAATAACGTTAATTTTAAGATTTACATAGAGGTACAAGAACTTTAACTGTTTTAAAATAGTGTAACAGAAATGTGTGGGCATATTTTAGTAGTAGTATATTCGAATCAGTCCATTGTCAGCTATACCTGTACATAATGCTTCTAGAAGGTCTAATTTCGCTGTAACAGGGGTACAGGAAGTTATTATACTCTGTAAATAATGTACCTTTTATAAACGGGTGCTTAAATAACTAATAATTATTTTTTGTTACAGATACTAAAAGGAGCATACAGCTACTACACATTGATAAGGAATTAAATATTTTTAACGATTCGCTTTTAGTAGTAGCATTAAATTTATTCACTTGTTTACTTTAGCACACGTGCATTGTATCACTTACTGTCGAAAAGTCAACTATTACAAAAAAAAAAGACATTACGAAGAATGGTTTTAAATAGTTCACAAAGTAATATGTTAAATAAAAATGTAATTCTTTAATTTGATTTCTCCCGTGCCTCAGAGAGCACGTTAAACCGTCGGTCCTGGTTGCCATACGAGCATCTATAGCAATAGTTATAGGTAGGTAGTTAGAGGCCTAAAGAGTCCAAAAACAGTATTTGTACAGAACTTCGATATCGCCTAGTAAGTACTCCAGTTGTGCAGGACTGATGGCAGTCGCTACACGCATAAAATCCAAATTCAGCAGTTCTTTAATTTCCGCTCATTCGTTGATATTATGAATCTATCAAAATTACTCTGGATACGATCTAGGACTTAATATTTACCTACTCGTCAAGTTAGTGCCATTTCAAATTTTCATCGCAATCTATGAAGTCAAATTCAGTTGCAAGGTACAGCCTTTAAAAATAAGATAATTCTAATAAAAGTTTACCAAATTATCATATAAAAATTTTGCTTATTTCTTCGTGTGTTTATTTCAAGTTTTTACCTTCTGAAATTGAATATTGTACAAACTGGGTTGAACATTGTACTATTGTTTTAGTTTTAATATATGGTATTTCTATGTATAATAAGTATCCATTGAAAGAAAAATCCACAAGAAAAAATTGTATGTATTTATATCAGTTGTTTAGTAGCCATATACAAGCTTTACTTAGTTTGGGACTAGATGGCGTTGTGTGAATGTGGTATTATTATAATAGGTAAACATTAATTTAAGAGTACAATAATCATAATGATTTACATTAGTAGCACATTACTTCAGATTTTTTGAAATTAATATTTATGAAAGTTTGGTAAGTTACACAACGCACATTTATTACACATTATTTGATTGGTATGTGCAGTCTGTCAAGAAAGTCATGTAAAATTGAGGGCGTCACTGCCTTTATACCTGGTATGGTGGTTTTTTATTAAATTATTTAATTGTTTTATGATACCTGAATCCTTGTACAATCCCGCGTAGGGTTTGTGATTGCAAACATTTATTCATTATAAATGTCTTGAACAAATAATTAAAACAAATAATTGGGCGTTACAAAAGATTGCAATCTGAACTTTGTAGAACAAATTAAAGTATTAAGTCCTCGTTTTTTCAAGTATATTTAAATAGGTGTTGCGGATGCCTCTCTCTTAAAAACCAAATATACTTAACTGGCTCAGTGCCTTCTCACTTACTCTATCTTCCCAGGAAGATAGAGTAAGTGAGAAGGCACTTCCCAGGAAGGGCTAACAAAAACACATTATAAAGAGCTGAGACAGCCCTAAGTGCTACTTTGCAAGGCTGTTAATCAAATCTTAATACACTAAATATAACACAGTGTAAACAGATAGTACAGAACTACCTGCCTAGCCTTTCATAAAACGTGAATCAATAAAGGGGATCCTCTGCCTATTGAAACATTTATGTTGCACCTACGTATAATTAGTTATGTAGGGAAAAGAAAGCACATACTAGCCTGGTTTTACATTAAAAATAAAAAAGTATTAAAATTGCATTTTTTGTATAAAACTAATTTATTCATCTAAGTCAAAATATTCAACACCCGTAATGTTGCCTGAAACTCCTGCGTCATTTGTTTGATCCACTTGGACCTCTTTGGAATCACTGGAACTATCACCACATACAGATACAATAACTACGTCAATGTTATTGTACAGAGATCTTACACGGGTAAAATATTCGTTTTCAATTTTTATTACATGCTCATCACAGTTATATTCTTGCGCTGTTACCGACTAGAATGCTTCTTCAGCCAACTTCGCAACATTTTGCCACCTACATTTTTCTTTGCAATTCGTCTCTTCACTATTGCTCAAACTCAACTTTTTTTCTATGGGATTCAGGTCGCAGTGGTAAGGTAAGGCAGTCTTATCACTGTATGCCCATGTTCTCATATGACCAAAAATATATTTATTTATTTTATTTTTTTATTTATAACTTGGAGGACCAAAAGCTTTGACAAATTTGCTTAGCGCAGAGATTTGCAACAGCAAGCCAATTACTGATCCCCACGTTTAGTTCAATACATAAGTAATTAATTTATATTTTGAGCGGCTTAAAGCACGCTTTACAATATGAGTAATCAACGTTTATATAGGTACACAGTTATAATACTAGAAACACGTTAATCGCTGTTTGTGACAACAGATCAAGCGTAGGTATTAAATTAAATCAAAAATAAACCAAAATAACAAAAAAAAAAACAAAATTAGGGCATAAATCTAAGAGAAGAAATTAGGAATTTTTTCTATTATTGATAGAACATTGAGGGACATGAAAGGGTTGTATGTCTCTTAGAAGTTTCGGTGGTGCATTAAGATTAAGTTTATTTAAAAGCTCTGGACAGTCAATTACATTCGATGTTATTTTCAATATGTAGGAGATATCTGCAATATCTCTTCTGTCAGATAGAGGCAATAAATGAAATTGTTTGCACAGGTTTTTACAGTTAGAAGACGTAAAGGGGATTTTTAATCGAAAACATATATATTTTATAAATTTAATTTGGATTCAATTCTCGTAATGTAGCAGTCGTATTGAGGGTTCCATATCTCAGATCCATATTCCAAGACACTTCTTACAAAACTGCAATATAGGATTTTCCAGGTCTTAGCCCTTTTAAAATAGGCCGAGCTACGAAGAATCAAGCCAAGAGCTTTAGACGCCCTGGATATAATGTCATCAATATGCCTTTCGAATGAAAGCTTAGAGTCGTGTGTCAAACCTAGATCTAGTACACAATCAGTTACGATGGGCCCTCAAGCGGATGAACCGAGATATGCTCGTTGCCGCAGCCATCGTCGCGGATTGGCCAGAGGAAGAGGAAGTACAGGTCTTGTCCGATCCAGAAGCGCAGGCTGCTTGGTTCCGTAGCATTATGACTGACGTCTGTGACGCGTCGATGCCACGGGTCAAGCAGGGGGGTGGGAGAGGTTCTCTGTACTGGTGGACACCGGAACTTGAGCAGCTTCGCACAGCATGCTCGAGAGCCCGTCGCCAGTTCCAGAGAACCCGAAGACGTCGGCGAGCCACAGCCGAGGAGATCGCTGAAGTTAGGCGCGAGTACGGCGCGGCCGCTAAGGCCATTAGCCTTGCGATAGCGGAAGCCAAGGCTCGGTCCTGGAGGGGGCTCATAGAGGGACTGGACAGGGACCCATGGGGGCGCCCTTACAAAATTGTACTGGGCAAGCTCAGACCGTGGGTCCCGCCACTGACGCAGACCTTGGACCCGGAGTTTGTGCGAGGAGTGGTAGATACCCTCTTCCCCGGGGACCGGGTCAGTCCCTCACGCCCTCCGTCGCCGTCGGAACCATTCACGTGGTCCGACGACTTTGACGTGACGGAGGAAGAGCTGGACCGAGCCGTGAAGCGACTCGCCGCCCGCAACACTGCCCCGGGCCCTGATGGAATCCCGGGCCGAGCATGGGTGTGCGCTTTGGTGGTCCTAGGGAATAGGCTGAGGCGGCTCTTTAACAGCTGCCTCCGTAATAGCGTATTCCCTGCCGGCTGGAAGGAAGCCAGGCTGGTACTTATCCAGAAACCTGGCAGGGCCGCAGATTCTCCCTCGGCGTTCCGACCGATATGCCTGTTGGACGAGGTGGCGAAACTCTTTGAAAGAGTTATCGCCGCCCGTATCAACCAGCACCTGTCGCGAGTGGGCCCCGACTTATCAGACAACCAATTTGGCTTTCGACAGGGACGCTCGACGCTGGACGCGATTGCACGCGTCCGCTCCTTGTCGGAAGAGGTTGTCTGTCGGGGGGGAGTGGCGTTGGCCGTTAGTCTTGACATTGTCAACGCCTTTAACTCTCTTCCGTGGTGGGCGATTAGGGAGGCACTTGTGTATCACCAGTTGCCTCCCTACCTGCGGAATATCATCGGGGTTTATCTCTGTGACAGATCCATATCGTATATGGGTCGGGACGGCGAAGATTGTCGAAGGGAGGTCACGTGCGGGGTTCCCCAGGGGTCGGTCCTGGGACCTCTTCTGTGGAACCTCGCGTATGATGCCGTACTGAGGACCAGCCTTCCCCCAGGATTGAGTGTCGTCTGCTACGCGGACGACACTTTGGTACTAGCTGGGGGACATGGCTTCCAGGAAGTTCTGGAGCTCGCCGAGTTAGGGGTGGCTTGTGTCGTCCAAGGGATTAGCGGTCTGGGTCTAAGGGTTGCACCTCATAAGACGGAAGCCCTGTGGTTTCACAGGAAACGCAGAGGTGCAGTTCCCACCAGAACGCTTATTAAAGTGGGGGGAACAGAGGTCGAGGTCGGGCGGTACATTAAATACCTCGGCCTCACCCTGGACAGCCGCTGGAGCTTCGAGGAGCATTTCGAGCGGATGATCCCCCGAGTTCGCGGGGTGGCGGGCTCCCTACAGAGGCTATTGCCTAATCTAGGGGGTCCGCGGGAGGAAGTTCGCCGCCTCTACTGTGCGGTGATACGATCCATGGCCCTATACGGAGCGCCAATATGGGCCAAGCGCCTATCGGCCTCCTCCCGCTGCCGAGCGAAGCTCAATCAAGCGCAGCGGGTAGCGGCCATTAGGATCGTACGAGGTTACCGCACAATTTCGTCGGAGGCGGCGACAGTCCTGGCACGTTTCCCACCCTTTGATATCCTGGCGGATATGGACGCGAGGGTCTATGACCAGACTTGCGTGATCCGCCGGGGTGAGGGTGGGGAAGACCAGGATGAGCTCGAAATGCGGCGGAACGCCCACCGACAGGCACTGGTGCAGTGGCGCGCACGACTGGAGCAGCCGCGGAATGCGCGCCAACGCGCTGTCGGTGCCGTTCTGCCTAACCTTGAAGCTTGGGTAGGTAGGGAGGGAGGTTGCGTCACATACCGACTGACGCAGGTACTCACTGGGCATGGTTGCTTCGGGGAGTACCTGAATCGGATTGGACGCGAGGAGACGGCACAATGCCAGCACTGCGCAGCCGACTGGGACTCCGCCCAGCATACGCTGGAAGACTGCCCCTCGTGGGCGTCTGAACGCGAGGTCCTGGTCGACCAAATCGGACGAGACCTGTCCCCGCCAGCAATCATTGCTGCCATGCTGGCGGGTGAGGAGGGCTGGGGCGCAGTGGTCTCTTTCTGTGAAGCTGTAATGCTCCAGAAAGAGACCGCTGAACGGGATCGGGAGAGGGCCGATCCCGAACGTAGAAGACGTCGGCGGCGATATCAGCCATCGACGGGGCCGCGGGCCGCCAGAGAGTGGGGACCTCTGGTGGCAGATTGATTGCTGCGGTAGGGAATGGAATGGCCGGCCTGATTGCATTGAGATGCGATCGGGCCGCCATGCCGTGATTGAAGGGGGAAGTGTTCTACCCTGGGATAGGGCCTGATTAGGCATGGTGTCAATTCGGGGAGGACCTGAAATAACATGGTCCGGGTCCTCCCCAGAGTAGGACACCTAAGGCCGGCCGTCGGGGTGGTTTTTAGTGGAATCACCACATACTCCTGGCTCCTGAGAGTCCCCGAGGAGCCGGAGATCCGAAGGGATTTTCCACCCCGTCAACAAAAAAAAAAAAAAAAAAAAAAAGAAAAAAAAAAAAAAAAAAAAAAAAAAAAAAAAGTACACAATCAGTTATTCGGTAGAAAGAACCTATTTGGTGTTTTTTTCGGGGTGAAGGTTACCACTGAGCATTTGGAGGGGTTAAGGTCTAGCTTGTTCATGTGGCAATAATTACTTAGGCTCAAAAGATCAGACTGTAGTCTCTCCCCATCGGCGGCCGATTCTATAGTAGCAAAAACTTTCATGTCATCGGCAAAAGATAAAAGCTTAAAATGCTTGAAGCATTTATCGATGTCATTGATAAATATGACGAAGAGGAGAGGCGCGGTCACAGAACCTTGAGGAATACCACTGGGTATGTCTAACCAACTATAAATACGAGTATAGTTGTTAATTAATACCGCTTGAGATCTCTTTTCAATATATGATGAAAACCATCTGAGAAGGTCCCCCCTTACCCCTATGTCCTGCAACTTCCGTAAAAGCATACTTTGATCAATGCGATCAAATGCCTTGCTGTAATCTGTGTGGATGATATCCATCTGCTTACCATTATCCATAGCCTGCGTTAAAAAAACGTTGAATAGAATGAGGTTTAAAATCGTAGATTGTCCTTGCAAGAAGCCGTGCTGAGAGGGATTAAAACAAATCTTGAGTGCGGAGTATAGTTCTTTGGTCATTAATCAGTTTTTACAGTACTTTTGAAATTACACAGGGCTTAGAGATGGGTCTGTAGTTGGTTATTTCCGTTTTAGGACCTTTCTTGTGGACCGGAGTAATGTAAGCCGATTCCCATATTTGTGGAACCGTGCACTCCGTAAGGGACTTTTGGAATAGAAGAGCTATAGGCAAAGCAATACTTTTGGCACATTCGAGTAGGAAACGCGAATGTATTTTATCTGGGCCGGCGGTTTTATTAGGATCTAGCTTGGACAAGAGTTTTTCCACCTCATCTATTTTTACTTCTATACAGTTCATGTCGGAGCCATTAAATGTTTCTAATTGGTACGAAACACCAGTTCTGGTTTGTGTTTTTTTACAAGCATTAAAAAAGAAAAAGATGGCTTTCGTAACAATTTATCATTTAAATCTGCCTTCACAACTGCCATAAACTTTCTAATTGTAGGGACATCTTTCTGCACTGTGAAAATTGCAAATATGGGATCTACCAATAAGAACGCCCTGGTTTTAAAATTGAATAAAACACACAATGTTTTATGAAAAATGCATCCGATTGATTTATTTGATAGATAATTTTATGCAATTTATGTTGTAAATAATATATCGGCTAAATGACCGCCGCGGCTCTTTTTGCAGACGGCCACCCGCTCACGCCAATTTTCGATGACGCGGTGTACCTTTTCGGCCGGTATGTCGGCTATGGCTCGTCGAATGTTGGTTTTTAAGTCACGAATTGTAGCTGGAGTAATGCTGTACACTTTAGATTTAACGTAACCCCAAAGAAAACAGTCTAAAGGTGTTAAATCACACGATCCTGGTGGCCAACTGATCGGTCCATTTCTCAAAATTAACGACTGACCACACTTTCCACCCAATAATTCCATGTTCACTCGAACAATGTGAGGTGGTGCACCGTCTTGTTGAAAATAAAGGTCGTCTGCATCAATATCATCAAATTCCGGAAAGAAATATTCGGTTAACATCGAGTTATAGCGCTCGCCATTCACAGTAACAGGGTTTCCTTCGTCACTTTCAAAGAAGTACGGACCAATGATTCCACCGTACCATAAACCGCACCAAACTGTTATTTTTTGCGGATACAATGGTGATTCGTGAACCACACGTGGATTTGACTAACTCCAATAGCGACAATTTTGTTTATTAAGATTTGTTAATAAACAAAATTGTCGGAAATGAAAAATGGATTTGCATTGAGCCAGAAATGGGCCTCATCTGAGAAGATGATTTTACGATGAAAATCGTCATCGGCTTCCATCATTTCCAGTGCATAATCGGCAAATTCACGACGGATACAATGGTCGGATGGCTTCAATTCTTGTGCCAAAGCAATTTTGTATGGAGGGGGAGTTCGAAGGAGAAGAGAAGATGAGGTGCGACAAGGTCTACTTCTGGGGACAAGATAATCAAAGCGCTCACTCAGATATACAGGATAGGTAGGGTTATGAAGAACCGAATACAGTAAATAAAGTATATATTAATTACCTATAGTTAATACAAAATGGATCAAGATTGTTTGCGTTGCAGTACAATCCGTAGGTAAATAACATAACCTCAACAGAACGAAAAAAATGTGTTAATATAGATCATTTAGACTCAAAATAAATAATTATTAAAAGATATACACTTCCTATACTGTGTTTTACATAACAATTAACCTACGTGCCGGTTAATTGAGTTTGACCGTAAACATCGTCCAACTCGGAAATAAACTTTCGAATTCGGCCATACACTCCTGAGAAACATTAATTACGACCTGGCTCGCACCACTCTTATAAATATTTCAATGCATATTTTATCTCCAAACTGTTACTGGATGAAAAGAAAGGACAACAAAAAAATACGAAATGTTTAAAGAAAACAACGAAGTGATAGCTGAGCTACTTAGTTTAGCAGTCATTGAGTGTAGCCAATTATTGCCAAAGTTGTAGTTCCACATAACTTTCTTGACAGACTACTAGTTCTGTGGTAGTAAAGAAGTTTAAATTCATGTCTCTATCCCGCATCCCAAGTAGGTTTAACAAGGTGAATAAAACTCTTTTCAAAGCCAAGTTTTAAGATTTCATGTATTTCAAAACGATTAAATTTATGTCACATACACGTGTGTATTGTCAAAATTGCCATTTTTCAACCAGTATTTGACAGTTGACGATACTGTCATTTCTACCACAAAGCCATTCAAATTGTTTTTTGATGTACTACAAGCCGATAAAACTATTTTTAAATACTATTTTGTTAGCTCCATTGCTTGTGCATTTTTAAATTAGTATAAATGTACTAGGTACAATATAACAATATGTTGCGGACAGTTGTCAGACTTACACCATCGTTCACAATTCCAATATTTCGTGACAGTGAAAACAAAAATGATATTGTTCTCAATAAAAATGTTCTCACTAAACCTGAAACTGGATGGGACAGAGTCAAGCAAATGTATACTAAGAAGTAAGAATAGCATATTGAGTCTTTAAGTTCTTTTGTTTTTAAATAATTTTCTAACCTAAACATATTTTTCAGTGAACACGAAGAAGTGTCATTAGAGTTATCTAATGTTTCTCAGTCCACGATGAGTGGTGCATTTATTGGAGCATGTTTGGGTGGATTTGTTAGCTCTCGAGTGGCTTATCTTGATTTTATAGAAAATAATCAAGCTACAACATTTAAATCAACTGCTCAGGCCAAGGTATTAAATACCTACAACAATCCTTGTATACATTTAATTTATTCTGTTGCCAGGTTGCTCTGTTTACTATTATGTGAGAAATAGAATGACAAAGTAAATAAAATAATCTTACAATTCAAAAATAAGTTAAGATTAAGCTAATAGAACCTGCTTCATATTCAATTATTAGAAAATTGCATGTGAAATGATGTTAGTAAACCTTTGCTATGCTATCCTGTAATATTAGTCTATGCTGTATTCATATAGCACTTAACAGCACTTAACTGTAACCCTTGATCCACTGGATGTATGTTATGAAGATACTTGTAATTATTTTTATAGACCAGGCTCATAAAGCTACTGTCGATCTCTCTTGGAATACTCTTAACTCAATGCACCTTAGGGTAAACCTAGAAGTATGACTTAAGAAGTCTAGACTTATCAGTGGTCCTGAAATAGTGCATCGTTTCACATGTGCAATTGTGCTTTGACAGTAACAAAGTAGGTCGACGTGAGTAAAGACAAGAAGCGATAAAGATGAGATAGATGTTCTGGGCTGAAGCCTATTCTTCTAAATTTTCATTGTTTGATCCTCTTTAAAGCTAGAACGCTATTCATCATTCTGTCAACTATATTACATAAATTTATACATACTCTGTAAAGTGCAGTCACAACAGGTATTCCAACCTACCACCACCAACCAACCTATTTAACTGCCCAAAATTAAGATAGGTTAGTACCTATCTTAATTTTGGGCAGTTAAATAGGTTCTTCATGGTGGGCTAGTGCCCACCATGAAGCACCAGCCCACCAAAAATGCACCTTCTTCCGGACAGACTAAGTACTTATAAATATCAAATCTATTGGAACGAAGTTCCTTATCGCGCGTTGTGAAAGGGAAAGACTAAAAAGCTAGACGGAAAAAATTCGTACGAAAATTTGTCACGACACTTTTAATATAAATTGACGTCTAACTGTGGATACCATACATTAAATTTGCTTTAACGTGCGCCAACGTCCATACCATGTTGAATACACCGGTTCTCGTCCGATCACCGAAGTTAAGCAACATCGGGCGTGGTTAGTACTTGGATGGGTGACCGCCTGGGAATACCACGTGATGTTGGCTTTTTGCTCTTTATTTTCGTGTCATCTTGTCAGACATTCAGCGCCATCTATCGAATAGATAGGAAATCATTTCGCAAGGAGATTTTACCAATGTATAAATTGTTTTAATTGTTTTTAATATGTAGGTAATAGCCGCTTTCATAGATGGCGTTATAATTAAAATCGTGTCAAATCAGTTTTACTCGATCGTCACAACTTCGTTCCTATCGGGTGTCCCACGACACCACACGGCTTTTTTTATGGTTTAATATTTCTTTTATAACTATCATCCCTTAATACACTTTCCCAGTATACAACACTCTGATGCTTGTATACTTTTTAATCAAAACATAACATCTCACTTGTGCACTTACATAAAATTATTAGTGAGTATTTATTTGTGATAATGTAGCTTTACATCAGTAAAATAATTCTATAAATTGGTTTGGGCATGGAATTGTAACAAACAAAGAAGCATTCTCAATTTCAATATAAGGATGGATGTTATATAACTATTATATTATATTTTTACAGAAACGATTACAGGATTATGTAACAATAGCATTTGCAAGAGGAGCATATAAATGGGGTTGGAGGTTAAGCTTTTTTACAGGAATTTTTAGGTGAGCCATGTAAAATTATTGAGTTTTAGAAAGTTTAGACCAGTTATACATTAATAATAAGTTCAGTATATAAACATCTGCTGGGCACCAGCTCAACAGAAGGGTAGCAATCAACTTCTGTGTGGTGGATTTCCTAAACCTGTTGTAGGATCCAAGTTAATATAAAGTTGCAGTGTAGTGCAGTGAACATCATTTAGACAGTATACTAGCAAAATATACTTAATAAAATCTATTACACAGGAGAACAATTTCGTTGCTTGGATTTTATTGTAATGATAACTAAATAATTAGCAAATATAACAGCTCTTACAGGGAAGAAGTAAGGATAAGTCAACTTTTATATTTTGATAAATTTTTAGAGTAATCCATATGTAAAACTATGTTAAATTTAATTATGAATTTGTATGAAATTAACGCAATCTTATAAAAGGTACTACATACATACCTTTGCATCTACTGACCTTTTAACCACAGTGCACGTAATAAGCTAGGTTATTTATTAAGTGCAACCTATTACATGTTCTATATAACTCCAGTACCTAAGAAAAAAAATTGTATGTTTAATCCACTATTATGTAGGTACATACAAGTAGAACTCTGCCGTCTCCTTCTGCGAGCAAGTTATGCTCGCGAAGGAGACGGCGGAGCGGGACCGGGAGAGGTTTAGAACTCTCCCGGCCCGCCAGGCCCGGGCACGGGCCAGGCAGCGCAGGCGACTCAGGCGCCGGAGGTCGCAGAACGACCTCCGTCCTCCATAAGCGCAGGCCTGGGGGTGACAGGTGAGGCCATCTGTCACCCTAGCAGAAGCAGGCCGGGGTGACAGCGAGCGCGTTGCGAAGCGCGCTCGCTTCCAGGGAGCACAGGGAACATGGGGTTCCCACACGGGGGGGGGTCGTCTACTCGTCTGTAGATGACCCGAGGTATGTCGGGGCACCAGGGACTTCCTTTCTAGGGTATACCTGGTTCCCCGGCTATTAGTACCCGGCGAATTCGTGCGGTTTTAGTCGGTTCGAGTCCGACATGCCACCGACAGGTGGTATCCGAGGGGATTTTCGCACGGAAAAAAAAAAAAAAAAAAAAAAGGTACATACAAGTACAAAGTTTAGCGTCTCCAAGTATGCAGATAATGAATTCTTTTGATTGTTTCAGTTTAACAGCAACAACAATATCAGTATATCGTGGAAATACATCTTTAGTAGATTATATCACTGCAGGTGCATTAACAGGTGCTTTGTACAAAATAAATTTGGGACTTGCAGCAACATTTGTTGGTGCTGGAGTAGGTACATATTTTGTGTACAATATTAATTTTAACGGTGTACAATATTAATTAAAACGGATGCATAATAATAAGATAAAAAGGGAAAGAGGATGTTTAAAAATCTACATAACTTATCTAGAACATTTAGAATCTAGAATGTTTGAACATAAATTTACTACTTTATTACTTTATGTGAAATATATATGTACTTATCATATTAGTCAATTAAAAAATTCCAAAGTCATACAACAGAAACCATTAAAACAGTGCCCTTATAAGTAGGAAAGGTTTTTTTTTTATAATTAAGTAAAGTAAGCTTTTTACCTAAACCTATTGATGTTTTTGTTCAGCAACTCAGTGATCATAATTAAAATGACAATATTATGTTTTAGGCGCAGTATTGAGCACTATTGGTGGATTAGCAATATTAGGACTGTTGAAAATCACTGGTCTGTCCATGGATGAAATAAGAAAAGCTCTAAACCAAGTAAAAGAAGCCAGGTACATTTTATGCAAATTATAATATAGTATGATAATTACTATGCTTTAAGTAAAGCTTCAGGAATTAGCAAAAGAAGTAAATCAAACTCAGCTAAAACGGGGTGTTAATTATTGGATCTGATATGCCCTCTGAAGTTAATTCAAAGTGTTAGCGAGTACAAAATCTATTTTTTTAATCTATAATGTATATCAATATAGATGTAATACAGTTAGTTGATAAATAAGTGGACTGAATTGACTAATTCTTTCTTCTATGTTTAATATCATTCCTAATTAGTATTTGGTAGAGTTGCTCAGCAAATTAGAAATTCAGAACCAACAGGCAAGGCCTTTTTCATGAACTAAATACATTGCTTTAAAATTATGACAAGATATTGGCAGGGTCAAGTAAGTATCTACTATAGTGTAATCTAAATAATTACCATTCAAAATATGTTATGGTATATGTCAAATTATAAATATTTGGTGTCAATCCGATCATTTTCTAATTTACTATTTAACAAAACTACAAAATATCTTAGCTGAAATTGGCGTAAAATTTTATATTCTCATATGAGTAGAAAAGAAAAGCTGCGAAAATCAAGCTTATATGATTATTAATTGACCCGTAATATTTTCAGAAACAATAGAATCCTGGGAATGCACTGGCATAGTTTGTGATGTAACGATTTTTATTACTTTACAGGGAAGACCAATACAATCAGGCATTAGAAAAATCGGCTACAATTAAGAATGATGAGATGACAGCCAGCCACAACTGGATCGTCAAAGAACACGGTGAAAAAAAATTAGAAGACATCTCTTGAATTTAAAATAATATCAGTAGAACTAATGACAACAAATTTTATATTATTATATTATATGTATATATTTTTATTGTCTTTTGCCAAGGCTGAAACTATCGTCTGCTAAGTTCTTTTGACTTTGCTAAATAATCGGACTATTATTTATTAGATTAGCAAAAAATATTTAGGTGTATAAAATGTCTCTGCGGTTCTATGGTTAACTTTTGAACAAATATTTTATTTATGAAAAATCTGTGTTATCCAACCAGTGTTATCTATATCTTTTTTTCACTTTTGTCATTACGAATTATTGATTCACTTTTATTCTTACAAGCAGGCGAGGCATACATTTTTTAAATTATGTAATACTCAAAGAACGTAACCGTTTCGCACGAAAGCCTGGTCAATGTGAGCCTGATTGGTAAGGGGGCTGGACTAGGTCAGAGGACGTGTGGGAACCACCTCGGGCCGTCACCCTACCGGGGTTAAGAACAGAGGACAACCAAGAGTCACTATTTTCTTAACGCGAATGGACTATAGTCAACAACATTAACATTATCTAGTGTATCTAGTAGTAAGAACCGCGGCGAACCCAAAAAAGCAACTTATTGGACAAAAAATAAACACAACACAAATAAACAAACAAACACTGGTTCAATGGTTTTACATATTTTCTTAGTACTTATTAATAATAATATGGTTGGTCTATTCAAATTTTTCAGCTATTGCATAGCTTCTATCGCGGGCCTTGAGCGTGGAGACCGAATCCAGAAATTCCGTAACGAAAATAACCTAACACCCGCCACTCCGACCGGCACTGATACTTTTTAGTTTTGCCATCTATCGATGAATAGCAGAACTTTAATGACTTTTTTGAAATATCACGCTTGTCTCTTTAGTTCAGCAACTCGCCTCTAGGTGGCATTGGTTGTGACGAGGTATTTGCCAGATATTTAGAAGATATCAAGTCTCAAACTTATGTTTCTTATTTCAGTTACCATAAACCTATAGTTTCAATGATAAATATTCCTGAATAACCTACATGTATTGTAAGATAGTAAAAATATTTTGAACAATATTAACTTCTCGTTTATTTAATAAAAGAAAAAAAAATGTTTACTTATCGGTCACCACACTCAAAAAGTGTAACTTGAATTAATATCAAAGAAAAAAAAACAAAGGAAAAAAACCGCATAAATAAAATAAATAAATAATTATAATTGCATAAGTTGATAAAAAATGCTATGCAATAGCTTTACCGCGGCAGTCCCCGAGTGCCACGTCTTTTTTTTTTGTTCTATTTATTTTATGTTTAAGTAAGATTTATTTTTTCTTACTATATTTGATTATTGATTTTTGGAATGGTCACTCATCGTTGTCATTAAACTGAAATGAGATTAAAGGAATTATGGTACATACATACCAATTGTAAATTATGTAAATAAATGATTTTAATTAGTTATCTTTATGTTTATCTTGATTCTTCTTATGAATTTCTTCTTGAGCTTAGAATATCTAGTTTGTCTACGACACAGGGCGCCGGTGCGCCTATACATAAACTATACATGTTGATATGAAATGAAGATGAATATACGAGCATGAAGTTGGAGATTTGTCTGAAAATTTTGGTTTTTTTTTTTATTTTAGCTAATCAAAGTATTGGCCCAAATTATCTATACAATTTTAATTTTTCTGTAGGAGTGTGATCAAGTCAGCGAAAGTGTTTTGTACTTTGCCTTTCTTGGGTGTTGACCACTTAAAAAATTGTTTAAATTTTGAAAAAAGTAGAAATCTGTTGGGGCAAGGCAAGGGTGAGTACGGTGGGTGACGGAGAGCTACCAGCTGTAGCTTGTAGCATTACGATGGTCTGTCGTGGAGAAGCACTTGACCAATCATGGTTGTTAAATGGCAAGCTTGTCCATCACTGTCTGCAATTCTTGGCAAAAGCCATCTGCCGTCGTAATAAGCTATGATGTACAAGTCCGGCACTAGTCCACCAGACAGTCACCATCAGGTCAGTCTTCCTATGAGTAATCTTTTCTTTAGCGCACTGATTAGGTGCGCTTATATCGCAGGGAATAAGACCGCGAAGCTTGTTCTTTAACTTAAAATTTCCAGATCTTACACAAGCAGATCCGTACACGTGGTTAATGTTGTGTGTTGTTTAACTCATAATTAAAAATTGTACGAATTTTCAGTTTATCCATGGTAAGTAAAAGTAAAATACCACAATTTCACAAACAAAAAACACTATCTAAAAACAAATGACTGAATTTTCATTTAAGAAAACATGGCTTTCGGATAAAATCAATTCAATCAATCAAGCGCGCCAATCCAGAGATAATTAAATCTGAAAATGCTGGTTTGAAAAACCTCCAACTTCCTGATATATCTAATACTAGCTGAGACCCGCGGTGTTACCCGCGTTTGTTGTTATAACCGCGAGCAACGGCGTTTAGCGAAGCTAGTCTAAAAAAAGTAGCCTAAGTTCCTCCTTATGTCATCAGCTATCTGCCAGTGAAAGTCCCGTCGAAATCGGTCCAGCCATTCCAGAGATTACCCGGAACAAACAGACAGACAGACAGATAAAAATTGGAAAAAAATGTTATTTTGGCATATGTACCGTGTAAACATACATATGCATTTAGTAAAAAGCGGTTATTTTAATATTACAAACAGACACTCCAATTTTATTTATTTGTATAGATAAAGTCAGCGGCAGGCGCGCAAACCCCTAAACACTTCTAGGACGATCGTGAAACGAAGCGTATGTCGCACATTATTGTTTTTGAGCGAAAAAACGGTCATCTTATTTTATTTACATCTATCGAGAAACGAAATCGAACGAATAAAAAAAAGGTTATTTTTGGGATATGGTATTTCATAGTGTAATCTATCAGAAATGATGGCAACTACAACCCGTTAAAGTATTGAGGTCGACTTAGCCAGTAACCTAGTATATCTCCAAAAGTTGTCTCAAAATTCTCATATAAGCGCCGACTAAGGGAGCAAACTACGCAAGACGACAGCACTGCAAAGAGAAGGAAAACTTGACAGAAATCCTATACCAACCCGTCTGGCCAGCGTGGTATAGTAGGATAAAACCTCCTTTCTAAGGGGAGGCCTATGTCCAACAGCGGACTATTAAAGACTGTTGATGATGATGATGATGATCTCATATAATTTCGTAACTAACTGACGACAGAGATGTCGTAAGTTGAAGTTCAAAGTCATTATTATATAGATTGAAATTACTACTTACTACAAATAAAAAAGTGTGTATATTAAAAGCAATTTATTATTATAGACATTGCACAATACATATGTAGTCAAACCGAGTTATAAAAATATAAGGAAATATGTATTTACAAGTATTTCATAATGTATTTGTGCAATAATTTCCGAATAAAAGAAATTCGCTTATTATTTTTTAGATACGAAAGGTAAAAAATGCTAAGACTTATAATTATTAAAACCAGATGATAAGAACGCTTATGAATACAAATTACAAACCTTCAAAAATGGCAAGATCTATTACGTAATAAATATATTGAGCTATATATGCGTTCATAATCTTAGCTGTGAATCCAGGATGCTTAATACATTCATCAAGAAAGCTCTGGCTAAAACTGCTAGGTATATATTAAATTTATTATTTTAATGACTATATGGGCCGGTGTTAATACCCGACACTATTCAATTAATCTGCTTTCATTTTGTTAACTAGAAGTTTAGCTAAATTTGTTGATCCACAATGTATCATTTGAATGTTCAAGTGCTGGAGCCACAGCTTTAAAAACTTGATTTAATAATAAGCAACATTTTGAAAAAAAATAAGAAAGATATAATCGAATAATAACGTCTAAGCAAAATATAAATAAGTTTTTAACGATCTAATGACTGCTGATAATACTTTTGAGTATTAATTAACATTCTAAATAGTACATCACTCAAATAAGACGCACTGACGCCGTAATTCATAACAATAACTAGTACTTTTAATTCTCTACACAATTTTACAGTTTAATCCATTTTTTTCAAATACAAAAGTAGTCAATATGTGTATAGATATAAAGAATTTTATTGCACATCAAGTCTTTCTTGTTAAACATTCTAATAAGGGTTATATAAGTATTAGAACAACAATCGGCATAAAACGGAAAATATAAAATAAATATTCTCAAAATATCACGAAGAAGTCGTAAACCAAAGACAAGTCCTCTATGACTACAGAAGGTTATTATGTTGTCAGCACACTTTCTCTACGGAAACGTGAACGAACAAAAAGCACATTTGCGACTATTGTACAAATAACATATATTGAATAACAGCGAATATAGCCATGTAATACACGGTTATGTATGACAGTTCTATAATAGAGCCTATCGAGGCTACCTCACTTTATAACTTTATTGAGCTGTTATCTACTGTTACTATAAAACTATTTAACATTACAACTGACTGATACAAGAAGAATCTCTATCTTAGGATAGATAAAGTATAGTTTTATACAAAACTTATATATAACCCAGTGTTTATGACACTCTATACACTGGTGTAATTGTCTTACAATATGGACATTTGAAACATGATAAAAATTATTTATTTATTTCCTGATGCTTTGTTGGAATTAGGTTTCTTGTTTTATTTTTACGTTATCTTCAAACCAAATATTAGGGCAAATTTTAAAGTGATTTTCTTGCAAACTATTATAGCCCAACAAATAATAAGCTTCTGCTACAATTTTATATTCCCGATTTCAAATCTGGTTTTGCAATCGAGTGCGTAGTGAAACTCGGCAATCAATAAAGAATGACTTTAGCGGCGCGATCAGACACTAAAAACTATCGAATCTGCGGAGCCACGGCAGTAGCACGTAAGTTAAATATTAATTCATTGTACTTTAATAATTGAAATAGTGAAAGAAAGAAAGGACTTCATTGCCACAATTGAAGTCCAAAAGAATTACAAATTTGAGGCAACAACTTAAAGTTTAAATTAGCCTAAGATATATAGTATACCAGAGCCTATTTGTGTGACGTTATATCCGCAGCTAGGTTCAACGTATTGCGGTATTATATATAACTACTTAAGCAGTCACGAAACTTCTAAGTTATAACAAAATGTTATAAAGCAAAAAATTCATTACATGATTTATGCAGAAACTGATTTTGTTATTAATTCCTATTAAATAGCAAAGTTCATGCATCAAAGTATAATAAATGCAATCAAAGTTGATAATAGTTGATATGAATTAACATTAATGTAATGTAATACAGTATTAAAGGGCATCCTTTGAACCATAGTAGGTATCTGTAACTGTCATCATTCCTAAATGGATTTTTCCTCTAAAGGTAGGCGTTATTTTGGTCGATGACTCGTACTAGGGATCACTCTTAGGTCTAGGTCACCGGTCATACAAAATCTCCAAGCAACCAAAACGGTTACCAACTGTTTTTTGAAATAACTTCATGGATGACTATTAAAATATTGCATGACGAATTTTGAAAAATATAAATCAACTTTTAAATATAAATTGCGTGAACGTACTTAAACGATAGAACACCTTGTACACGATTTATTGAGTGGTCTGCGACTTCGTGATCCTTTTGGCGCCCCTGTTCGGAGGTCCCTTGGGTTTGGCAAATGCTGGACGATGAAGGTTCCTTTTGGGATGGATCTCGTCGTATAAGAACTCTTCGGTTAGCTCTTGACCGTCGTCTATTTCCAACTTTAAGCAAACATAACGTTCAGGAAGCTTTGAGATAAATAAATATGTGATAAAACTTTTGGATGATGCTGTCACTACAAAATCGGCAGATTCATATTTTTAGGATGTTTTCTATGAGACTCTATCTTATGTTTAACAGACTAAACGCGATTTTGTGGCAAGTTTTTTTTTATAATGTTGTCAATTTGCAAGTTATTATTATTTTTCAAACAATTTCTATTGGTTTTTGGTAGGGGAAATAAACACCTTTAGAATTTCTAAATAAAAAAGATTATAGATGTATTTGGATGTTGCAAAACGACATTATGGCGCAAAATCGTTTATTTGGGATCATATTAAACGTTCCTCAAATCGATTTTTCAAATTGAGATAATTTTTCTTAATTCTTGGTGTAACCCAATCAAAGTCTCGGGTCAAGTATTTAATATAATTTGTTTAAGAACTTACTCTCTTTGCAATTTCAAGTCCCATCTTCTCAATGATTTCTAAAAATTGTCCCTTACAGCTGGAATACATCATTCTTTCTTTTATACTGCAGTTGTATCCGGGCATTGAATATATGAAAACTGTTGACATAAATGTAAAATATATTAAACATCTAAACTGTTAGAATAGAGGATGTTCCTCCAATCTAGCTGAAAGTACTACACACAACACTTTTACTCACACACAATAAGCATATAAGTCTGAAAAGTCAGGTATGTGACAGGAAATTGAATTTCAAACCATTTTTTTTTATTTGAAAAGTAAATGGATTGAGGTTATTGTTGCTAAATTCGAAAAATCTGTTCAGACGCTCGAAGATCATCAGATTATCTCGGATCATTGAAAGGATTTTCTTGACTTCGTAAATCTCTTTTTTAAGGAAATTATTTGCTGAGTTGAGTTGTATAGTTCCTTACCTACACTTTCCATATAGTCACTTTCATGTGAATGCTTGAATATGTAAAGATGGTATCTGGCCTGGTCGCTTGGCACCTGTTGTGGTAACTCTATCACTGATATGTTGGCAGCTTTGGATAGGAGAATCTTCTCATTTTCTATATCTAGAATGAAAAAAAATGTTATAACATTTAGTCAAGTCAATTTATGGAGCAAAAAGTACTGACACTTAGCAAAGGCTTTCTATTTTATTATTTTTTGCAGGTTAAAAATTTTACATTACGAAAATAATAATGCAAAATACCGTAATAAAACTGTTTGTATAGTTTGCCTAGTATTAGGCACTTCAGTTGATAACTATCAGTTTAAATTGTTTCAAGTCTTGGTTTGTCGGCATTGTATAGCCTAAGATCTATAGATCATAACATATTGTTGATTTTCTGCATTATCACAATCGTCAGAATTATTATATGTAACAAATTATCTTATTGGGTGTGGGTTAGAGATAAGAAAGACAATGCTAAACTCAAAGAGACATAATGTAGTATAAGAATACGGTAGTAGCTGCACTCTACCATAATAATGGCTGTGACATAATGAGTGTGATGCTATCTCGGCAGGATGTTTCACTCCTTGAAAAACGGTCTCCATAGGATTGAAAAACAGTCACGCATTTCCAAAATACATTGTGAAAAAACCCGTAATATATTACTGGCATAAACACAATAAGTATCTAGTAAACTTTTATTCAATTTAAACAGAAAACCTGTATTTTTAATACTTTATGGTGTTAAACAATATTAACTCACCTATCTTAAATTGCAAGTAGTTATAGGAACCTCTTTTGAGATCATGCATTCCTTGTTTGGCATCTTCTGTAATAGGAAACGATACTCCACCCATCGTTGACTGTCTGAAATATCATAACATGTTTTATAGATCCACAATACATCAGGAAATGTTCGACATATATATTTATTTTAATTATTTGCGCCGCCTCTACCTTGCATCAGTCCCATAGTTGGTGTTTTGCTCACTCTCTTGTAGTTCTTTCAATGCTTCTTCTCTGTCAGTAAGGGGTGCTGGTGCGCTCACTCCGCTCAAATGCGTTTTATAGCCTTTCAGAGACATTTCATCCTAGAAACAATAAGCTACAGGTCTAGTATTTATTATGTGTATGTTTTATGGGAAGTATTATTAATATAAAAGTAAACCTAAAATAATGTAATTTAATTAATTATTCTAACAATGCACCACTAGATGATTTATAAGTGTGTACAATAAGAGTATTTACATGTATCAAAAAAATATCAAAATATCTTGTTTTAAAAGGACCACTCCCACACAAGGCATATATCTTGTGTCACGGGGGACTTTTAATGTACATTAAACGGACACATAGAACACCAAGACTTAGGACAACAATTTGTGCATCACACAAAGAGCTGTCCCATGTTGGGATTGAACCCATAACACTCAGTGCAGTAGAAGGCGGCGATGTGACTGCTTAAAACACTAGCAAAAAAAAAAAAAAAACAGGGCTGTCTAAATTCTTCAAAATAATATTATTATATACTTAATTTTTATATTGAGATGTTGATATTGAAAATCATACCTTGAGTGTAGCATGCATTTCATCTTTAATATGGGCAGAACCAAACTCTTGTTTAAGTGTAGCTTTGGTAGACGCGTATAACATCTTTTGTCTTACTGGAGCACTGTCTGGAGACCAACTAAGCAATAGCCATTCATGGCCTACGGAGTTTGTTGAGTCAAACCTGAAATGTTTATTGAATTTGATAGTTTACACACAATCTTTTTAAATTTAATTCCTAAGGACCGTCTTACCCACCTACGTTTTTGTATTGTTAACTAACTTCTTAACGATGGAACAAATATAACTTGACCCTTTGGAACGAAGTTCTGAGCGGATGGGAGCGAGGCCGAAAATGTGTAATTAATTATCCCAGGTCATTCAGTGTTTAATTTATCATTATTTATTTTGTACATAATAAATATATTTTCTACCAAAAAGCGAAAGGAACTTCGTTTTTTGGTAGACGAACTGGTCCAATGGACGAAGTTCCTTTCGCTTAGTTTGAAAAAAACTACTTTTTATTATTTTATATACAAGAGATACATAAATGCTTATTCGATTCTCAAAGTAACTACTTCCAATACAGTTACTGGTCTGGGGATAAGGCTGGTCTGAGATTAGCGGTGAGGCCGAAGAAGCAATGTTACCCTAGCAGAAGCACCCCTGAGGCAGTGGTGCAACCTGTTTGGTCCACGCCTCTAAATCGGAAGCAGGGCGAGGCCTTCAACCCCAGTCCCTTGCAACAGACTTACATGTGATAGAACGCCGTATGGTTTTACTGTGAGCCCTGATGAGGTGGTAACCCGTGCGGGTTTCCACAAGATAAATCCAATTGGAAATCTTACAAATATTATAGAAGCGAAAGTTTGTATGGATGTTTGTTACTCTTTCTGTCAAAAACGGTTGAACTGATCTGGATGACACTTGGCACAGATTATGGTCTGGAATAGCACATAGCCTACTTTTTATACCTAAAAAATTTAGTGTTCCACTACATTTTTTACTACAACAACCGCGAGTAACACAGCAGGGAGCAGCTGGTAGTTGATACTTCTCTTAATTCAATGTCAAGCAGTCCTAAGTGCCGAACCGTGAAGCAGGAAATTGTACGCCATACTAAGTCCTATAAAGAACACATAGAACAACATCCACACTATATCTCGACGATTAAAACGTAAAATACCTCAGACTTAATACAATTACAGTAGTCACATACCGAGCGCGCCAGCGTGTGGCACTGGCCAACACACTGCTTAATGTCCCATGAAAGAGACAGAATGTAGTAAGCCAGGACAAAAAAAAGCAGTCTTAAGTAAATCTGAATTTTACAGATTCTAAGTCATACTTGTTGACAACAACAGAACTATTCGTATTACCTATACAAAATATAGCAGGGGAGATCTTCAACCACCAACGAAGGAACATACTTGTCGAAGTCTTGTTCCCATGAGTGTTTTACTGGATAATACTTTGCTAGCACCAACTGTTCTGAAATGTAATAGAAATTTCATAATTCAAGGATTCATTGAATCCTATGTGATTCCATAATCATTATAAGATTAATCATCAATTTAAATTACATTAAGTGCATTGTTATTTACTCTTTTTATAAAGCATGTTTATTTTTATTTCTGTAAGATACTGTTTTATTAGAACACATAATAATTAAATACAAATGTAGTGGAATTTCCTTGTTATATACGCAACTAGCTGACTGCGCAACTTAGTCTGCATAAATATCTCAAAAGGAATATTTTGCCCCCCTGTGCAAAATTTTTCATTAATGCTTTGGTATCAGACAGCCGTGTGTAAGATATGTGAAGATAACATTATTATAACTAGCATGCAAGCACGCAATTAAGATGTAATTATAACATTACCATTCTCAATGCTGATTTTCAAAGCTCTTATCTTTCCATCTCTGCATTTGCCTAAATATTTCCTCAGTTCTGCATTTGCTGGAAATTAATAGAAGTTTGTGTTTTATTTATGGAATTTTTAGGGTTTAGTGTTATTGGGACAAGAAGGAAGGAAATTAAGTAGGTAAGCTATGTTGTGTCCCTACAGAATTAAACAATCAAAATGACAACTGCTAAAAATTGAAAAGAACCGGATTGTGTTCATAAATAGCAAAAAAAAATTATAACATATTCTAACCCTGAAAGGTAGTATACACCAGCAGTTTTAAGGAAGCATGTCACTTTAATGGTGTGTCAAAAGAGTAAAATTGCTTAACTATTTATTTCTTGCACTGTAATATATTCATTCATGAGTGTACACGGTAGGCATCTAAGATTATGATTTTTAAGGTGTTTATTTTTTGTGTTCATACTAACATACTTAACATTGTGTTGATGTGTGATGTGATGTACTTAACACAGTTTAAAATTGTTATTTTACAAAGGGCTTACTAATATGGTCCTGACAAAAAGAAAGCCGTTTTCCTCTGAACCTTTTTGTCAAAATAAGTTGGGGTCGGCTTTAAGTCTACTATGATACGGCTGCACTTTAATTTTATACATAGAACAACTGGCATTAGACTACCACAACCCAAGTACTAGGCAATACTGAAGCTCTGTAAAATGACTGTTGTTGAAGTTTTTAGGGCTTGCGTCTACCCATGAAATTTTAACATACCCGTTAAGATTGCCAAAGCTGTTCATGAACCATAAGAATCAGAAAGCAACATGAGACTTAAAGTTAAAGGTCTTAAACTTCCTGGGAACCACCTGTTTAAGTTACAAATATGCAATCCTGATCTGCTCAAGCTATTGCTTACACACTCTGATCCATCCATATAAACAATGATAAATAAATAGTTTATTCAACTGCCACTTCACTCATTTGGTTAGTAGCAAAAAAAATGTAATATTGATCTCTTCTCTTTTAATATACTCTTAATATTTTCCATCTCTTTCATTCTCAATGATTCCAGTTGATAGCACAAACATCTACACATATTTGGGTCACTCAGCTGTTTGTTAAATTTATGGATGACGAATCAAAATATTAAAAATTGATTTTTTGGGAAAAACTTCTGAATCATTTATATGATATGCAGTTGAAAGATAAGATGATAAAGTAACGTATTAAAAACAGTTCTACAACATTAATATACAGTCATATAAGATAGAGATATATTTATTGTTTTTATGATAAGCGTAGGTGTGTGATTAGCCATAATTTCGTATAGTAAACATTAATTAAAATTAGCTAGTCGTCTATGCTGCAATAACATCAAAATCTACATCTACACTACACTTTTACCGGATTTATTAGCATAATACGTGAATTATTATAAAAGGAGAGTTAAGATAACTGTATTTTTATATACCTTGTATTCCTGTTTGGTGAGACATCGTAATAAACTTGGGAAAGATAAATTATAAGATAAACAGTTTCCCAAAAAAATATAACTCACTAATTAACGATAAATAAACTGTAAAAAGAAACGAAATAATAAAATTCCCCTGCTCACGTAAATACAATACGGAGAATTGACAATCTGACAGTTTAAACTGACATGACAGCAGCCAGCCACAGTCCCACAGAACAACAATGGCTGTCACTATTATTATCGATTTTTGATTTTTAATTGTGAACCCAGTCAATTTATCCATTGAATAATTCTGAACACTAATTTATCTTCGAAGAGATTGTAAAAACACCTAAGAGCATTTTGCAATACCGCGTATTCACAAAAGTCACAAATTAAACTGATTAGAAATACGAAAAAGAGGTATCCGTGAACTTTTATTCCATTCTCATAAGTGATCATGCAAAAGAATCAGAAAGAAGTTAAGTTTCAAAAATGTGTTCCATTAATAAAAATAATTTATATAATAATTTAAATGCAAAGCTATCCAAACGTTAACGTTTTGAGTTGATATTAAAAGTAACGAGGTATTTTGATTTTAAAAGTTACCTACTTTTAATATCAAAATACGTACGACAGAATAAGTATTATTACCAGTAGAGAAGACTTGCTCTATAAAATCATTAAAAAAATAGCGAGGACAACAAAGTGCAAATCAGATCGGACAGTGCTAATTACCTACAATTATATTCACCTGAAACCAATCATTTCATCACACGATTATGATTAAAAAGTAGCAATAATTTCCAATTCTATTGACAATCCTAAAAATCTATTTTTGCAAATGGCAAAGGCAAATTTGACTTTTGAAAATAGAACTTGAAAAATAAATAATAATTCAAAATATACATATATATTGACATAAATTAGACTAACAAAAGTCACCCAGTTGTGGTAAATACGAGTATTTACGTACACTACTTACTTAGATAGGTGCATTTGCATTTCTTTACCTTTCGATGTCCTTGTTTAGGGTAAAAAAGTTTAAGAAGACGGAAACGATATGCATTGGCTTTCATTTCAGTTCAGTAATGGCATTTGTGTGATAAATTATTACATATAATAGTGTGATAAGGGTATAGTATATAGTAGGGATATACTGTGGTAATAGTGTGGTAAGGGCCTAAAGAAACACACCGCGGCGAGTGAAAAAAAAACCTAATAAACAATGGACTCCGTTTATTTCACCTTTGTTTACTGCCGCGTTTCACTTATCAGGAAGATTTTTCTAGACCTATTTGCACGCTTACGACCGAGAAAGTTGGAAATGCTGAAATGAAAGAAGAAAAGAGTTTCTTTTCTGACGTTATAGAATTTTTTCTCACTCTCTCCGATATCGGTATACATTACCTAGTATATCAAGACAAACATAGGAGCGGGAGAGTAAGTATCACTCGGACATGCCAACCCACCGGTGGGGTGGTTATGTCGGACTCGAACCGACCAAAAACCGCACGATACCAGTAGTCGGGGCACCAGATGTACTTTCATCTTACGATTATTATTTTAAAGGAGCAATTATTTCTAAGTCTACAATCGACAATCCTAATAATCTATTTTTTGCAAATGGCAAAGGCTTATTTGTAAATATACTATGTTAATATACTACGAAGTCTTGGTATTTAATTTTATTCAAACATTAACACAATTCCCGGCCTAATTTGAATTTTTACCGGCCCTGGGCGTTAACGTATACTTGCTACATTCAAGCGTACCTACATTTATACTTTTGTGATTATCGCACACTGTCGCGCCGTGGTCACTACACTCTTACACTTTAAGCTACACATTTTAAATAGAAAACCCTTTTTGCGACAAACTTGGGTCAAAGTAAGTATAAGTAATGCAAATTGCATTTGTAAGGTACCTGTGAAACTACCTATCTAAGTTGAATTTGCATAAAATAACAAACTCGCCATGTCGAAGCTATGTGCTGCAATCGTCATCAAAGCAACATTTCTTAGAACTACGCTACTAAATGTTAACATTATTTTCCTTTTGTCTCGAATAAGACTTACACTCCTGCTACTATGTGTGTCTTGATACAGTTGATAATGTATACATAGATCAGAAAGAGTGAGAAAAAATTCAAAAACTTTAAAAAAGAAACTCTTTTTTCACTTCACCAATTATCAAGCTACAAGTACATGGCGGCTCCTGTTTGTTGGGTCTATTGGTTATTCGGCGGCACGGGCCGGTTTTTTAGTCAATCGCTAATTCTTAACTCCCTTACCATTACTACACTATTACCATATGTGTAATAATTTACTACACACATGTCAACACGCATATTGTTTTCGTCTGCTTAAACTTTTTTACCCTTATAAAGGACACCGAAAGGTAAAAAAATGCAAGTGTACCTACTAATAATGGGCATTACTGCTAACTAAATTTAATTAATTGAGAATTCTTAATTGCTAATGCTAATATTATTTGCTAATAGGTATGACAAGTCTTTCTAAATATTGCAAGTTCGATAAATAATGCAATAGAGTGATAGCCTTCGTCAATTTACTTAGCACTATCTTTTTTTTTTTAATCTTTGTCCATTCACAAAATACACATACATACATACATACACAACGCACACGTTACACTCATCAAAACTTAAATTACCTATATCTACCCTATTATTAAACTTCTTATTAATAAATACTATATAGGTACCAATTCTATGAACAACTATGAACAATCTAACAAAACACTATGAGAAAACAAAGGCATTCAAAACAATACCTAATCTCCCGGCCACTTGCCAGTACTAAAACTTCAATGAATGATATTAGAAATAGCATCAATCGCGCGGTCACTGTATCGAGCGAAATAGGTACTTAAACGTGACAATAGACGGTTCATTTTTCGGGCATTTAGAAATTTAGCATTAGCAGTTGTATTAACATGTTAGAACAACAATTTATTAAATTAAATTTAGTCTTCGCGTTGATGCGAATGAGAAAGCACGCGCTGTGTGAATGTGAAGCCTTAACAAATGAATCGACGAAATTTCACGATCACTATTAATTTGCTAACTGCTAATTAAGAATTAACAATTAAATATGAATACTAATTCTTCCATCACTGTAGCTACCTAATTAAATAGATACCTACATACTTAGTACTGGGTGAATTTTGTTAATCTAATTTATGTTATCCGCATTCCCGAGATTATATTTTGAATTATTATGTATTTTTCAAGTTCTAAAATCAAGAGGGTCAAGTGCGCCATGTTTGCTTTGTGCATATGTCAATATATTATACTAAAATGCATTTTAACAAAAACCTTTAGTTAGGGGACTCGGACATCCGTCAGGGTACTAGAGATTTCTTTTCTAGGGTAGTTCCCCATCTACTAGTACCCGAGACGGCGTGCGATTTTTGGTCGGTACGAGTCCGACATAACCACCCTTCGGATACCACCGGTGGGAGGTATCCGAAGGGATTTCCGCACAGAAAGAAAAGGGAGAAGTCGGTCTTTCCAGCAAAAGCCAGTTTGAGACTGCACGGATAGCGTAGTGGTTTAAGCGGTCGCCACGCCGCTTCCTACTACGCTGAGTGTTGTGGGTTCGATCCCCACATGGGACGACACTTTGTGTGATCCGCAAATTGTTGTTCTGAGTCTGGGTGTTCTTTGTGTCCGTTCAATGTATGTTTGTAAATTCCCCAGCGACACAGGATATATTCCTAATGCGAGAGTTGTCTTTTAAAAAAAAACGTCCCTGTGTTGCTCTAGCTATCCCCAGTTTATCTGTATGAGCTATATCCCTTTCCTTCCATTGCCTTCCTGCCTTACCAACACTTCTTTTAAGGTAGTCCCAATTTTTCCATTTAATGCCCAAAGTGTTTTGGTTGTCACCGGTTGACGGCAATAGGCTAGGCCCCTATTTCGTAATTAGGATTAGAAATATGGTCGGTAAAGTCAATCATCCAAGAACGACATCTCATAGGAATCTCCCAGGATACAGTCTTTTATCAGTTGTTACAGCTGTCTTTATAATAATAATGTAGGTGTTTTATACGCATCTGTCTATCCCTTCGGGGATGAAGGTGTGAGTGCATGGAGGCACCATGAACTAGGTAGGATACAGAAATGCGAATTACGTAATGATATGTTTAAAAAACAGACTGTGCAATTCCTTTTGAACCGGTAGTGGCAGGTTAAAGGGCAATAGTTAACTAACTAATATTATTTTTGGTATAGCCTAAGGAAGCCAGGAAAAGGTTGTAGACCCTTTATTTGTTGCGAAAGTTTGTAGGGTGGTGGTATACGGTAATAGAAATTACCAGAAATTTTAGTGTTTTTTAGTTTAGTTTAGAGAGTTTTCGAACAAAAGGACTAGCACCATTATGTTACTGACTGCTAACATAAATTAGTTTGATCAATATAATATAATGTTTAAAATAAATACGAGTATTTCATTTTTATAGATGCCATTTATAATATCAAAAACTATTAAGGAAGTAGACCTTCGTCAGACTAGATCAAAATAACTCTACATTTAATTCATCAAGTCAGCCTCATACATTTTCAATAGAGAACTAAACTCTTTTTGACTATTATACATTGAAGTGAAATCCCGATTCACGATAATTCGATTAAAGATCGAGTCAATTGTCTGGCGCATAAAAGCGATGTACCTGCCTTCCAACCCATACGAAAATATTATTACTATATAAAATAAAACAAATCAAGTAGACCACAAAGCAATAATGACGTTGAATGCGTAAGTACCTACCGCATATCTATTGTAACGTTATTTTGGAGCATAATTATAAATTATCGACCGAGACGGCGCGCCATGCCCATAACAATTGCGGTGAATATACGCATTGTTTATTTAGTGGCTTTAAATCATTGCGGAAGGCTTTCGTTCCGCCTTAATTGGGCACAAGTATTTAATGAGTCCCTGTGTTTGATACAATGAATTTATTGAATTTGTGTGGTATCAATGAAGGATAAATATAGAGGGTTCTTATTTTTAGTCA